ATGAATTAAAACGTAGTTGTTTGCAATTGGTTAAACTTTAGTACCTGCTGAGCAGGATTGGCGATGCTTTCTTTTTTGATATGATGATTGCAGTTTCAACTACTTTCAGTAACTTCCTACTCCCCCGTATCGTTTGTTTATTCATTCGTTGTGAACTCTTTTCCTGCTTTGAGTATAACGGTACCCACTGTGTAGTTGCACTTCAGCATAGGTGTATCGTGGTTCACAGTCCCGTGTGTAATATGAATAATCGCATAGAACTTTTGGAACAAAGCAGTGTTTTCCGTTAATTTAAAAATTTTCATTGTCAGCGGGTAACCATCATACCTTTACTATCCTTCTGCCATTATTATTATTATTATTATTATTATTATTATTATTATTATTATTATTATTATTATTATCATATTTCACGTGTGCCTTAGTCACTACTACAAATCTTGGTGCAACACTTCACCACAAAGTCATGAGTTCATGATTTGCACGTGGGCGGAATACAGACTGAATCACGCACTTGGATCCAGGTTACTGTATGTGGAAGTTGACCCTTCACTTGTCTAAGTTCGTCGAAGTTGGACTGTCACTTTTGGAATAGTATGGCCAACCCAGTTCAGTTTATCTGATGAATGTCACATCTCAAATCACTCATCTGTACAGTTTGACAGATTCACTTGTGTACGTGATTGTCTACCTCATCCACTTCGGATACCTTATGCGTGTCGTTGCGGAATTCCGTTGTCTTATTGGTGTAGCCTCCATCCACTGTTGTAGTGACTCGTCGAACTACGTGAGCTGGGATTAAACGTTATTAAAGTAGTACATCAGTCTATGGAAATAACTTTCGACTTTCAGCATTAACTTGGTTTCTATTTGGAATTGTAAGTATAGATCGTAAGAAATTTTATCCTGTGGACTAAGGGTGCTACTCCGTTAGTGCCAATAAGAAACCTTTGTATTTACATCTAAGACTTGTGCAGTTCTTCTCTTTGGGTTGTAGTTTGATGCGTTTTGTCCAATAGTTTACTGTCAACGCTGTTTCTTCTAAAATCCCTACCATTGTCGATTTACTGCCATCACGAATCTACGTAACGTCAATCAATTCCCTAGAATTGTTCCCTCCAACAACTTCTCAGCACTTATCAAGTACGTAAAGTAATCCGTTACAATGGAATTCGAACATACTCTTTCTCGCCGTCAGTTATTCCTCTGGAATGGAGTGTGATGTAGGTTGCATTCACCTTTGCTCGGGTTAAACTTTTTAAGTGCGCTGCGTATGGGCTCTGTAATGTTGATACCATCAAAGAAATCATTTTCCATATATTCCTGGTTGTATGCACACTTTGTTGTGAACAATGAGCACAGTTTTGAAGGTTGATAATACGTACTAGATAGTTGTTTTGTTCAGTTCATTGTTTTTTTGTCCCACCTGGGACTTAAACGGTGAAGCTTCAGTTCAAGTGTCAAAACCCTGAGTTAGATATAATTTGACAACAGACATCCCAGAATGCGTATATTAACCTAAGGTACGAGCCTTACGTTTGGATAAGGTACACCAACTCGGTGTCGGACATGTAATTAAAACTGAAGCATGTTCACTAATAACATATACTTTCAGTTTCGGTGTGTTTCGTCTATCTTTTCTGTCTCTCTTGGTACAAGGCGAACACCTAATAATATATTATTTTACTTTCTATTTTCAATAGATAGCTTTGTGATTCTCTTCAAGAGAGCGGTCGACCCGAGAATTGGCGGGAAATCAAAAATGTGGAGATCGGAGACAATAATGATGCGACTTTAACACACCGATTGTGGGTCGAAGCGCTAAACCGTTTGACTACGGTATCCAACACCTTTTGATATAGTTGTCATGAGTGCCAAATGACCTTTCACCAGCCTAGATGGTCTGTGATACCGATACTTGTTAATCACGGTCAACCATTTGCTTAAGCAGCCTAACTGTATGTTCCAGAGATATCAACGTTATTTGTGTAGCACAATAATAATAATAATAATAATAATAATAATAATAATAATAATAATAAATGAAGACTGTGCGTATACGAGAGACAATCGCAAGAGCAATGCTGAAGTCAGTATTAGTGTTGTCCATTTGAGAGACTGAGGTAGTGCTACGATCAGCATGGTACTACTTTGGCCCGGTACGTTGAAATAGTTTATTGTTGGAGAACGACTAAATGCGGGGGCAATGTGATGAAATGTCTGTGTGTGTTTGACAGCGTCCTAGCTTTGTTCGCAGTTCGAAATATTAGACACCATGACCATCTGTCAACAATAGTGGTGACCTTGCAGTGGACCCATTCATTTTTTCTTCCCTTGAACTAGGGTTTGCAGCGATTGCATTTGATCATCACTATTGTTCCCTATCTGGGTCTACTTAATTCGCCTGCGGCCTAGTCGCTCAATTTATTCATCGTGTTTTTGACCTTCTTTGCGTTGAGTGATGCCTGTGTATTGAGCGCGTTTGAGTTTTGTAAAGTAAGGAGTTCAGGCTTAGTGCAACAATGAATCATGTGGCACAGTAATACACTTTCTGGCTTGTATCCGTCAACCGGAGTAAAATAATGCCATGTCTGTAATACCGATTGCCGGAGTTGCGTGACCGCATAACCTCTCGTTAACCTTCATGCACGCTAATTCGCTTACAATCCTTTTAAAGATACCATTAGTCTGTTCATTTTTTCATGCCGTATACACACGTACAAATGTTGCTAGGTGTTACTCACATTTGTGAGTAGTTTGCTTGCACTAATAAGCGGCTGTTGGATTCCCACGGAATTCGCGAATGGATTAAAGACATTACTTTGGTAAATACGGGAAATGTGCATCCACCATCGGACCGTTCCATTAATTATCATGAGTGCTTGTGGGACTTCTGAAGATTTGTTCCAAATGAGACATTTTGTTGTATGTATGCCAATTTACCATAACACTCCACTTTATTCGTAACAAATAGGTCCTCCTCCAGCACTGTATTGTGGATTTAAAACACAAGAAGTTTTCAGAGAGCTCAGGTTAAACCAAAGCTGTGGTTGCATATCTGGTTAGGGGATTCGGCAACACCCATGCATTTTTAGATTGAGTGATTTGAGAATACCAAGAAACAGAGTACTACCGTTGACACAGCGTCACATTATTTCTTGTGTCTGCATATGTTTTACGTGTACAGCGTTGTTGTGGTAAAGCAGGATTAGCTTCGTGGTGATGTTTCAGGGTCGTCAAGTTGACAGTTGAATAACACATTTGGTCTTCGTTCTCTAGAGTCGTGACAGAGCGCTCCATCACTCTTGTTCAAAACTGAATTTAAGTATCCGTTTTCTTTAAAAAGGGCAACCCCAGTTGGGATCGAGTATCCACGGATACCTGTGATAAAATAAATATGGTGTCTGGTGGCATTCAAGCTACAGCAAACCTAAGAAAACCATCAGATTGAGTGAACATCTCCTGATAAGACCTATCCGTACGGGGTTACCCTTCTGACAGAACTGTTCTGAATTCGGTTATTTGTCGTTTATGGAATAAGTGGTCGTGATACTACTCAATTGCCCAGGTCGAAGTAAAGGGGCTTTTGGTTAAAGCACCTGACTCCAAAGGCTAGGAACAGCAGACAAGTTCATGAGTTTGTCGTATGTGGCCAACTAACCAGAGGGCGCCGGTTGCTCTTGGGCCGCGCTCGAGCCGGTGACTTTCATGATGGCCGATTCCAAAGGTGGAGTTTGGAGTCTGGCTCGAGTTACGCCGGAAATGGGTACCACCATCAGTTTCTTATATCAAGTGTGAATAGTTGAGATTTAGGATTTTAGCCAACTCCTCTAGACTGACTACGAATCGTCCGTAAACCCGGTGGAAAGCGCTGGGCATTTGCCTTATTCTTCCCACTACTGTTACCACATCCGTCGCCAGAAGTTACTAGGTAGGACGCCCTCGCAGAAGCTATTGAAGACGATTGGTCGTTTCGAAGCACTTCTATTGGAGTTCGGGACAGCTGGCCGTTTGAGAGACTGAGATACCCGCTTCCAACTATACTGAGGCATTTGGTGCCGTGTCTGTAAGGATTGGCCCGATTGTAATAACCTGTCCTTAAAACAATCTGAATTGCATTCGGTAAAAACATACAAATATTGCTCTTATTTATTACATAGCGCTAATTTCCTACCCCGTATATGAACCAAATTTTGAATTTACCCATTTTCGCTCTAAGACGATCATACCATGATATATTTCACGGCATCTTGAACTAGCTCATTTTAAAATGCAGGCTAGTTCTTGTTTTAGTGAAACATCTTATTCTCCCCGTAATGAACCAGTTGAACAAATGGAATTAGAGATTTCACAAATTCGTGAACCACTTTGGTTGTGCTGCATTTCGAATTGAGTAGCTTAGTGCAATTTCATGACATTTTGGTCATCAAATTGGCAAGCAGTGCATGCCAAATGTCCACAGTGATAAAGTTAATGTTCGTTCACAATCGATCTAACTGCGTGAACGTGCGCAAAGTTTCATCCCTGTTTATCTCAGTTGTGAGTCACTATGCTGCATCTAGTTTTTCCTTTGCTGGTGGACTTTATTTTCCTCTCACACGGAAAACATTCATCCCTTATTTGTACATATCCTGAATTTATCCATCATTATGAATTTGTATATCGTGCTGGGTTAAACGCTTATTTTTCGACCGAACAAATTTCAAAAGTTGGAGTTTGAATTTCGACCCAGGCACGGTCTTCTGTGTTCATCCTTTTTAATTTTACGTTGTTATTTTTGCTATTTCTGGTCACTTTCCGTTAGTAAACCACCACCATTGTGTGGCATGATATCAGATGCATTGTGATCGCAGTACTGCGCATTCACCGATTCTTTTTTGAAATGAACTCTAATTTGTGAACATTTGCGAAGTTTCTACAGGCGTAAAAGTTTCATGCGCACATCAAACTGAAAGTGTGCTCAATAGAGGCTTCTGTCTTAAACTGTCGTCTACTTTTAGACTAGTGGTTGGCGTGGAATCGAGAGTACTTTGGAGCGGAATGAATCTGGGGATGAAGATCTTTTTCTTACGCCAACTTCCTCCGATGCGTCACGGACACCAATACCAGATCGTAGGACGGCCAACAACTCTGCTGATGTGGCGTTGCCTAACTCTAGTTCGGGGACTAGTGGTGGTGGAGGAGGAGCAGGCTTTTTCTCACGGTTTTTGCCATTCCGAAACAACAGTCAACCAGCACCGTCGCAGCCACCAGTGTCAGCTACGCCATCCAAGACCAAAGCTTCTGTGCCGGTATGTTCTATATTCACGATGATGATACTTGTATAATGTGATTATCCCAACTTTTCTTGCCCCTTACATCATCTGTGTATTATCACCGAACAACGGGATATCATCAACACATTCAGTTTGGGTTTTTGTTTCCAGGAGGATGCTCTTCGCTATAGTTCGTTATGTTGAGTAACATTTTTGCTTCGGCCATGTTTCCGACTAAAATATATGTCCTACTGCCCTGTGGGTCGAACTTTTGATTCAAAGGCTCCGGTCAGGGTTCCTGAAGCAAAACCTCGTCGTCAGTGCGAGCCAATGCGATGTATGTCGTGCTCTAAAGTCTCACATACTCCTGAATCACACGAAATGTTTACATAGTAAGATCAACCATTGAGAAGCTGCAAGATCAATGAGAACAAGATATTTAATGTACACACGCTGTTAGATTGGCCGATAAGCTACCCTAACTAGAATTGTTGAAATTTTTAATTTCTATAAATGCTTTGTCTTCAAATCACGCATTTTATGTCTTAGGTTAACCATCATACCTAACTCATTCTCACACTTCGCTCTCATTGTGTCAGACGATTAGTTCCTTACACTAGGGGTGCTGATGGCGTTAGGAATGTGGTAAGTGTCAAAGCGGAGCGCTGGCTTCTTGATTCGATTCCAGTTAGTAGCCGGCTGCTCGCTGTACATCTTGATGGTTTAGTATGAGTCAACAACCGAATAATGAAACCCCGGCGCTCATACGTCGTGTCCGTACGCGCGCCGATTGATTGCAGTGCGCCCGAAATAAAGAATGAGTTTTACAATGACCCTTCTCAACTGCCCGAATGTGTCCAATCGACGGATTTCGTAGTATTTGCTGCAGACGTCCATGCTCAGATGGGATCCATGAATGAATTAGAAAGATGCTTAGGTGATTCGCATGCGGTTTCAGACAAACTGTCGGAGAACAGACCACCGCTTGTTCCTATTGAGTACGAACGATAGCCATGAACCCAAATCGACTTTATAATCATCAGCGAATTAAAGCCGCTTCTTGACTTGACTTCAGCTACCGCTGTCGAGGATCCATCGACGGGTGCCACTCTCGCTTGGTTACCAGCCATGCTCTCCCAAAACAGCCACCGGAAATAGTTGCCCATGGTAAAATGTCAGTAATTTTTTCAAATAGGCCCTCGATGAGGAGCTCTCTGGTAATCGTTCAGTTCAACAATACACCGAATGACGCAGTTTTCCCGAAAGTTTAGATTAATTGGACTACGTATGTTGAATAGCGTACTAACCATACTCTGAATTGCTAAAGACTCATCGCAATTTACCCCCACATTGCAGATTCATCCTAACCACAGGCGACATTAGCTTCCACTGTTCGGGAAATAACCCTGGAAATGTTTAGAGGTGTTCGCTAGTTCATTCAGTGAGATGTGAGAGATTCGGTCGTACCGAGGTTGAAACCTTTAAAATTGAGCCGTGAAAGTTTTGTTTCAATAGCCAATGCCACTCATGCCAATAGACTGGGACATCAGCTGAGGGTGCCTGGTACCATAGACCGCATGGCGTTTCCGATACACCACTGTTTTTGTTTGCCGGAGGCTTCCAACTACGTTATGCGACTCATCTGGATGATCTACGATGTTCACACATACTTATCCAAGTACAATTTTTGATCTCATTACCGCCAATGATCTTCAGCACAGACCGAATAGCATTTTCTGCCGGCATACAACGCGATATCCGTGTTATCTCGAATTGTGTGTGTATGTGTTTTAGTCGTGGTGGCCCGATGATAAAGTCACTAAATTATCACTCTGGAGGACGTGTTTGAATCCCACCACTGCCGGACATTTCAAGTTTTTTTAATATAGAAAATAAGCCGTATTTCATGATTTCATTTCCCGAAGCACCTGTAATCCCTAAAAGAACGCATACCATACATTTACATTTGTGCACTAAATAAAAAACCTTTGATCAATCAAAAGAGTTTCTTTCAGTAGCATTCACTACAATAATGTAGTCAAAACATGTTCTTTATCGCCGTGGGTGCTAATAAAACGCTTTTCGGAAGCACATCACACGAGCACGGCACCCTGCATTTTTCAGTTTGGTCCATTCTGTCAACACTCTAGATATCCACATAATATGCGTTATTTTGTGGTCCAAAATGTTTCTTTATCTTCCTACAATATAGATTTCGGTTAATCATTTTTTTTCAGCCGCTTGATCAAGTTTAACTTACGCGAGACTGTTCATTTCGTGTGTCGTTGAAGTCAATCTGGTTTAGCTCATTTGTATCTCTTTTATCGGTCTTTCTATCCGGTTTTATACTATACAGACACTCGCGCCAGAACGTTTGTCATGCCAATTTGAAAACTTGAAACGAGTGCTCAAACGTCATGGGGCTTATGCATTGGACTTCCGCGGAGAAAGTCACATGTTCAAAGTAAGTTACTCTCATTCAAATCATACTGGTCTCACGATTTTGGCATTTTTGAAAATCGATGTACTTATGATAAATCAACATTTTATCACGTCATGGCTATCGTGATCCCTTAGTCAACTGCCAATCGATTACACCATTGTCTATGCTATCAAAATAATTTGCGTGGGTCACTGTGGTTGTGCATTACCGGTTTCTATCGCTAGGATCTTAGACAATGTCCTCATATGGGCTCAGTGTTTTTTTATCGTTTACTTTTTTCCTCTGTTCGAATTTCTCTCTGTACTTTTGTGTTCCTTCGCGAACCACACGGATAACAGTACTCAAAGTAGAGACCGTGGTTTCCCTTGCCGGAAATATGCGTTTCAGGTTGATAACGGAAAATTGTATATACACACGTTCGTGTGATTTTCAGTTTTTCTGTGAAGAAAACTTTACCGATAGAACAGCCAAAACGCAAAATGTTTCCGGTTAGGTTCATACTAGCCAAACTAAATGTCATGGCAGTATTTCCCACATATGAGCAATCCAAAATCATTGTCCCTCAGACTCAGTTGAGGAGTGAATTAGAAGTGACTGACTCTAATAAACTCCTGTAGTACCTAACACATCCTGATGCATGGTTATCTATTGTAAAGTGATAATACGACACTGTGAATTTGCCCACAGTCATCGTCATTTCTATCTTCCTTGATCTGTAAGCGGCTTTCGACTCAGTCGACCGCTCTAAACTCTGGCGCTGTCTCACTCTCAGAGGTGTGCCCGAGAAATTTATTTCAATCCTACAATCCCTTCATACTGATAGCCGGAGTCGAGTTTGAGCTTACGGCTCTTTTTCACCTGAGTTCACCACGAAGAGTGGTGTTCAACAGGGTTCCCACTCTCTCTGTTTCTATTTAACTTCATGATAGATTTAATTGTTGAGACAGCCCTATCCTTCTGCGAGAATAGCTGTATCGATTTACTCCTAGGTGGCAGACTGTCTGATCTGAAGTATGCAGACCACATGTGAAAATGCAAGTGGGTTGCAAGCTTTTCTTAATAGTTTGAGTGCTAGCGTATTCATTTTCGGTATGCGTTTTGCACCTTCAAAATTCAACATGTTGCTACGAGATTGGGATGGTCCAGCCCCCAACTTCACCCTGACTGGGGAAGAAATAGAGGAATTAGATAAACTTTACTATCTGAGCAGCTATAACTAACCTGGCGGACACATTACAGATGTGATGTCGGCGCGCATACAAAAGACTCGGTTGGCATTTGCCAACTTGAGACATCTGTGGCGCCGTCGCGACATCCGGTTGTCTGTGAAGGGTCGATTATATACTGCGGTAGTTCGACCAGTGCTGCTTTACGGTGCAGAGACCTGGCCATTAAAAGAACAGAATAAAATAGACTGTGGGTGTTCGAAGATCACTGTGTCGCGTTACACGAATCTGCTGGGGAAACCGGATGAGCAATGCTGAGGTTAGACGTACAGTTTTAGGTAATCGAGGTCGTTCACTGGAGTAAGTGGTTGACCTTCATAGATTACGTTGGTTGTGACATGTGCTACGCTTGTCACCAGATAGGTTGCCACGGCGAGCGATGTTTGCCGAAGCAGGTAGCTGCTGGAAAAAGATCAAGGGGGGTCAAACTAAGAACTGGCATGAGGGTATGAAAACTCTGACCAGGTGACTGGCTCACATGGGTCCCGTTAGGCTCCCTGGCTGGGGACCCCGAGATGATGGTCACCGATGGTTAGAGACACCGAGCGATATGGCTGGGTGTCGCAAACACTGGCACTCATGCATCTACTCATTAATCTCCTAAGACCACTCTATGTGAATTCTCCATCTTCCACTTGAATTTGCTTGGACATTCCAATCTTCATTCTGCTGTTATATCCCAATGGGTAGCCTAAAGACAGCAACGAAAACCGACGCACGAAGGAGCATGGTTAATGGTTGTAAAAACTGAAAGTGAACTCCAGTCATCGTTGTGATTTTTGTGAAGCGGTTGAAAGAGCGAATGACGTTTTCCTTCGGTGGTAATTCGTGACTACTATCTCTCTACACTAATTTGTCATCCGAAAACCACTCATGCCACTTTCGCTTCCAGAATTAGTGTATTGCAATCACCTCGCATAATATAGTGCAGTGCATTACATTGTACGTTTTTTTAGCCTAAGGTAGATTGGGCTGAGTTCTAGTCCAACGCTATTCAGAAAGACAGATTATCCAGGGAAACGGAAGAGATTCCTTAGCCAGAAATCGCTTCAGTACCCTAAATTCCCTACACCTGAGTTACATGCATAACACCATGCACACTCCGGTACCTCTGAGCGTCGACATGAAATCATGTTGAAACGATATCTGTGTTAATCATGGTCCTACTCGAAGGTCACAGTTTGATACGTGCTTTATGCGTTTTATCTCTAGCAAAAGTGTCTATTCACTTTAAATTCTTTTGATTACGTGACTGTATTTTTGAAAGGAATTCGGTTGTTTCATGTGGTCTCTATGTCCCATTAGTAAATTCTTTGACCTAATGAGATGCTTGTTAGGGGTTTTCTATGAAACAGTATCGCTACGTTAGCTATCCTATTCTACTTCCGTGTACTGTCGGGAAATGGCGAATCCCATTACTTTTATAATAATCTAGAAATGCAGTCACAGAAAATTTAATCTTACCATTTATCCGGGCGAAAACAGTTCTGACACTATACCCCTCCTCGGTAAATGCTGAGCATTATTTCCTTGGAATATCTAATGACCACTACTATTGTGTCTGGGCTGAAATGGTCCGTTTGCTTGCGTGCAACATACTAGTGACCGACAACTATTTACCCTTGACAAAACCCTATTTCATGTCCCTCGACGTGTTTTCTTGATTACTTCTCCCACTCACCGATATACCTACGGTTTCGGTATAATCTATTACAGGCCACAGCTACTGGTATACTTACTAATCTTTCTCATACAATTGAACTAATGCAACAAAATGAGGAACAGTGGCGCAGACGATTTGAGCGTGAAGTAGAGCGAAAACGTCGGTTGGAAGAAACCCAACGAGCCATGGCTCAGGAGTTGGCTCATTTGCGTCAACTCACAGGACTTGAAGTGTCTGCGAACAGTGCCACTTCAACGGCAGGCTCAACGCATTCACCTCATTCTAGTGCGGTGCACACATCGAGCTTACCCAATGGACATAGTCGTCCGCCAGTGCCTGGTCGAATTCCGAGTTCTGGTAGTGTGGATCTACATGAGCCTGGCTCTTACGACACGAGACTTAATAATCACACTGGGTCTCGTTCGCATTACGGTATAGTTGGACCAGACTTGGAGGAGGGTCCGAATTCGCCTATTCGGGAAGAGGAATTTTACGATGCAATTGACGCGGAATCGGATCGCATAGAACGTAAGTGCCGTCCGTGTTTGTGGTTTCGATCTCAAGTTCTT